CATCTAAAACACTTACTAAAAAAATGAGGTGCCAAATCTGGGTTCCTCCTATCTCCACTGATTTCCAGCACCATCTCCACTCATATCTTCGAGGGGATCTACTTCTGGATGTGGATGTTGTCCTGACCCGAAAATAATCCCCAAAATATTCTAATCTTAATCTTTATATTGTATAGGATTTTAAAAAGTACCCTTAGCTTTGGGAAACTCACTCCTTGGCATTGTCAGGTGGCCGAGGAGGTGGAGATAGATGTATGAGGGCAATTTTGAACCACTGACACAGCTGCGCAGCACACATTCAGAATTTGCACAGGAAGGCTGTCAAAAAGAAACTGAACATCTGACAAACATGTCACGCAACACAAATATACATGCCACAAGTACATGCCACAAAGTACATGCCACATGTTCAACGTGCCTTATAACACCTCAACATGCTAAGCAATTCAATCCAAATATATTTTTCAAAAAAGAATCAGCGCAATAACCCTATGCATTTTTTATGCTGTTTGCCTTTTTCCTTGAAATTTACATTTATGCCCAAAATTTACACTTTTGGGTGTAAATTTTTCGATTTAGGTAAATCCAAGGGTTTCCTAAATTTACACCTTTTGGAGACTCAGGGTAGAGAAGTTTGGCGGCAAGTGGTCTGGGCCCGCAAGCTTGTGCAGGAGCTCAAGGCCGCTAGCGCAGAGGCCCAGCCTGAAGCGTCCGCTGAAGGTTCTCGCTCTGGTGGAAAGTCCGGGAGAAGCCTCCGATCAGCAATTTCAGGAGGAAGTGATTGGGAGCTAGGACTCCTTCGCAGGGGAAATGGAAATGGAGAGCTAAGAAGGCAGCTCGATGCCTTGCAGCAGAGGGAGCAAGGGTTGTGTGCGCAGCTCAGAGCCCAAATGCGTTGAGGCAGCGTCGTGATAATAAGGCCAGTGTGTTTCAGTCACCGATGCAGTGCGTTTTTATCCTGATTCAGGTTTCCTTAGCCCGCTTACGCGCGCCATTTCCGATTCCGCTGTGGTCGAGGTGAGTTTGATTGCTTTTGCCTACGATGATGGGGAACTCACCGGCGCCGTCATAGACTTCCCCGAGAAGACGGCCCTGAGCTGTCCTAAAGGAGCCTTGCGCGCCAAAACAGCGCTGGTCCGCTGCTAGGCAGCCGGGATGACCGACGACGCCACGCACCTCTTCATCGGGTCGCGCAACTTGACCCGAGCTTCTCGTGCAAACCGCGAATTTGTTGCTGGTGTCGAGTCAACGATCAGTAACTCGAATACTCAAGCATACATTGAGTGGTTCCGTTCCCTCTGGGACGAGGGCAAGGAGATCGAGTTGCAGACCAGTGTTCTGACGCACCGTCTCCCGCAGCGTCAAACTTTGCGGCGCCCCGCCGCTCCGGTCCGTGATGGCGTGGACGCATCCACAGATGGCAGGTCCGGGTCCGCGATCTACCGGCGTCTGAGAGCATCTCCGGTGGTAGTTGTAGTTGAGTTTGTACAAGAAGCGCCGGATCTTTCTAAAATCCGGGGGTTGCTGGAAGGGGGCCCCGAGCCTGCAGTTGCCTGCTCACGTTTGCGTGATTAACGACACCTTGTGTGTCCGTGCAGTGTAGCCTAGCTTAGCCTAGAGAGCCATATCTACAATCTACAACCTACGCCGCCTAAAGGCATAACTACAGGCGACACTGCTACTTTTCCGCACTTACGGTGCGCGAGCTGCAGCTTAGTGTGCAGCCTTGCCCCGGGTAAAAGCCCCGCGTGCTGCGCTGGCCGCCTGCTGCCAAAACGGTGCGCCGCTTGCTGCTGTGTTTGGGTTGGTTGCACCTTTCCCAGTAAAATACTAGTATAATACTAGTAAAACTAGTCAAAATAGTAATACTAGTATAATACGAGTAGCACTAGTTATGCTAGTAACATTAGAAATACTAGTAATACGAGTAATACGAGTAATACGAGGAATACGAGTAATACGAGGAATACAAGTAATACGGGTAATACGAGTAATACGAGCAATACAAGTAATATTAGTAATACTAGTAATACTAGTAATACTGGTAATACTAGTAATATGAGTAATACTGGTAATACGAGAACTACTGGTAATACTAGTAATACTAGTAAGACTAGTAATGCTAGTCTTGCGTTCTTGCGAACCATTCTGTTATTGATTACCCAATACCAAACCCTCCAGCGGCTTTAGCATCCTTTTGATGCTGCCAGTTTACGATGCTTGTGATGTTTGCCAGGGACACCTTGGAGGTGAGGGTCGAAAAGGCCAATTGGAAAAACACAAGTCCAATGATGCATGGACACCATCTATACGCCTGAGACTACCTTGGGCCACGGTTGCAAAGCCAGATTTTCAAGCCAGTGACGCTTGAGCCATGATAAGAACGTATATTAGCTAGCGCATACACACCGCTTACCTCCTAGATCATTCCAATTTGAAATAAATGTGAAATGCCCCGGAAGTATTCAAAGCTTTCAAAATTTTGTAGAGACAAAGATGACTGTTGCAATGCAGGACAGGCGAATCAACTTGGGAACGGCCAGCCGCCTTGGGTGGACCGCTTGTACCTCGATCATTGTGAAAAATCTTCGCATTAAGAATTTTTTCAAAAGTTTTGTATAGTTTTTTGGGTTCCCAGCGTGCCAGGGCTTGTTTGTGCAGGCATACCAGACTGGTGAAGAGGTGGAAGTTTGGAGCAACGGCATGCGTGCGATGCTGGGCTGCAAAACATTCTGAATTTGTGCAAGATGGGATAAGGTTATCGCATCAACGACGCACTTCCTTCGGATTGTCGTCTCTTTTGTTTGTTCTTTTGCCAGAGGCGAGCAGCCGCACATCCAAGCGCAGGAAGCTGCCTTCCCAGGCCTAACCAACCAGAGCACCTAGCGGATCCCAGCGGAAGTAGCATGGATGATAGTAGCAACAGCAGAAGCTGGAAGAGAAGTGGGCAACACTGTGGAGGTAATCAACACCCAGTATGTGTCTCATCGGGCAAAGGTCCAATTTGTGTCTTATGAGGCAGGCGCCTTTTTGCGATTGGCGGCCCCCCCTGCGGTAGGATCAGTAACAACAGTTGGAGCCAGCAGCGGGAGGGCCAATGTGGTCAGTAAGAAGCTGAGGTGGGGCAAAGGCAAAGTATTGCAGGCTGGCAAAGCTGCGTGTTGGCCATCTCCGAAGCTGCACATTTATATAGCATCTGTGCACAGCTTTTTTCGATTTGCGAGGTAAAGGATGGCAAGGTTACGGCAGAATTTTCTCTGCCTGACGGCGGCGTTGCGCGGAAGGCGTGAGCTGAGATGCTAGGAATTGCTATGTTCCAGAAATGATTGGAAGGAGTTGCCGAGTCAGCACAAAGAGCCGGGCACCCCAGCTTATGAATGGCACTGGATTTGCAAAGAGGCGTTTGGAAAAGCGAACAGAGATCGCCGAGTTGTCGGGCGTCAGAATCAGGGGATGATGGATGATGTAGAACTAGCCATGAGCCATGAGAGCCCGACTTGATTGTTCTGGTAGGATTTAATCTCATTCATCCAGCCTCCATGACCACGCAACCAGCTGGTAATCAATGTGCGGATTCGTACATCGGGATTGTTGGCCCGCTGAGCAACTTGGCAGTCTCCGACCTGCAGCAGCGGAAGCCACACAAGCTTTGTCTCCAGAAGAAAAGGAGAAGTGGTGTGCAATGCGTTCATGGAAACAGATTGCAGCAACATTTTGCTAATCACAGGAGGCGTACCAGTTGTGGTTCAGCGCCATAAAAGATGGTTGCCTGGCTTGCAACGCAAGTATACAAGAAAAACTAATGACATTTCTGCTTGTAAAGCTTGAAACCTTGTGGCTAGCTGGAATCCCAATCCGTGCCAGCTGAGGCTCTGATGGCTCAAAGCCTGCTCTGCAAGTGGCACAGTTTCTCTGGAAATCGAGACTGCCGCGTGAAGCTTTGAAGCAGGCAACTACAATGATTTAAATCTATGCAGCATGTGGTATTTAAGTTGCAGAGGGCCAGGACGCGAGCCCCTGTTCTTTGGCATAACACCTGCAAGGTGTGGGCAATTGCAAACCCCGGGAGCAAGACAACCCTCTCCTTCGAGGCGCACCACATGCCCATGCGTACGAAGATTGGAAAATCGGTTCTCAGGAATTTGGAAAGTGCTGCCGCCTGGTGGCACACTGCCAGGCCTTGGACCCTGAGTTCGCTCTGCACTTGGCAATTCACTTTTAAATGCAAAACGCCTCTTCACACAACTGTGCAGCAATCGCTTTGGCAAAGGTGAAGAGAGGCGAGCGGCCTCTTCGTGTCAAGCTCCGAACAGAGTGCTTACACAGAAGGCTGGCCAGAGAGTTGTCATGCGGTAAATGTTACACTGCACAGCCATGTTCACGAGAGCCATGAAGCAAAGGGGTCCAGCTCCACCCACTCAAAGGTGTTGCCAGCTGCCTCAGGCCACCAGCGCTGCCGAGAATTGACAAATGAACCTTCGCGTTTCTTCTTTCGCGCCTTTCAAAGCTTCGCTTTGCTTCGCTCTGTGAGCGCAGAAGATCGTTGTTCCATTCAGTCTGGCCTTTTCCTGAAACAAAGGAAAAGTGGCTGAATCATTGGGCCAGAGCTGTAATGCGCCCTCAGCATTATTTGATGTCTTGTCGTTTCGATCCGCATGGAGAAAAGACCTGAGCTCTGTGAGGCTGGTTCGCAGACACTGACCAGAACAGAGCAGATGCCTTTGTGCTGACATGCTGCCAAGCTATGATGGGTATTACACAACCAGCTGTGATTGACTGAGTTGTGCTAGACTTTGGCAGGTTATGGAAATTCATCATGCTGCTCAAATTCCACGTACTGACAACCTGTGGCAACCGGACAGGCCCAGATCTAGACGTCCTTTGGAGCCATGGACACTGCCTCGCATCAGAGACCGAAGCGTCGCTGGAAAAGCCATGCTGGCAGTGACACTGCTGAATATCCTTCGTATGCGGTCCAGGACACAGGCAACGACTTGCACATGAAGCCCGCTATTCCTCCAGAAACATCTTCGACGTGGTCAGTGTGTGTGATCGGAGGTGGACCTAGCGGTTTAGGTTGCTGTCGGAGGCTGTGCGATGCTGGCCTACATGTGACTCTAGTACAAGAGAGCCGCGGTCTAGGTGGCAAGCTGTGTACTAAATTTGTGAATGGCAAGGATGATCCGACACTGCACTTCGACATGGGTGTGCAGCTCCTGCAGCCGGCAGGGCCGCTGGCAGACGAGCTTCAAGGCATCGTACAACCCTGGCCAAAGCCAGGCCGCTTCAAGCGCATCTGCTGCAAGGGTGACTGGGACCATTGGAGGATTGTTTCTGTGCACGACGTCTCAGTCGATGGGCTTGTCGTTGGAGTTCCGTCCATGTCTGCTGTTGGGCGTTTCTTGGCTGACAAATGCTCTAATCTGGAGGTTCACGTTGATCGAACGGCTCATGTCATTGGTCGTTCTCCGAAAACGCAGCGATGGGGAGTTGAGTGGAGCCGGGCTGAAGCTAACGCTGGACAACTGCGATATCGCCCTGAGCTGGCCGAGGGTGCAACTGAATCTGAATGCAAATCCTTTGATGCAGTGGTTCTCGCATTTGAGGCCAATAAGATCCTGCAGGGTTGCAAGTCTGGATATAAGCAAGTTGCTCCGTCAGTGGCACCAAGCCTGCGTCAGCAGCTATCTGGCCGCACGAAAACATCGCAGCTCTGGAATCTCATGATTGCATTTGACCGAGAACTACCAATGCCCTGGGATGCGGCGACAGTGGAAGGCCACGGCTCACTAGCATGGATTGCTGTCAACAGCTCCAAGCCCGAACGTGCTCGTGTGCCGCAGTGCTTCATGGTTTTTTCCACAAACTCCTGGGCCGCATGGAAGCAGTGGTCCAAGAAGGAGGTCGAACGTGTGCTGCTCTACGACTTCATGAGTTTTCTGGATCAGGTCTTGGGTTTCTGGCCGCCTGAGCCATGTTTCGTCCTGAGCGGACGCTGGGGGAACAACACTGAGGCATCTCCAGGAAGGGATTTGCTTTTTTACTGTTTTCGGATAATTTGTGGCAGGTAATTTGGTCATGTAGTAACAGGGCCGTGTAAGTGAAGGAGCTGTTTATCACATGCTCTTGCAGCTGGGATGCAGGCGGTGCTTACAGGTGCACGGCCATCAGGCGAGTTCCCGGTTCGTGCGCTGGCGTACGAAGATGCTGCCATTGGTGCCAAACCTCTGTGGGATGCTGAGGTGCGCATGGGTGTGACAGGAGCGCATCTTTCCTGTAGGTGATGTGTTCGTGCGAGAGCGCTCGCAATTCGGGGCATAGTCGTTATAGACAGGAGACTGGGCCCGCGGGTTTTCTGTCAGTGACGCTTACAGTCTCTTTGCTGCATTGTTTTGCATTGTGCCGTCAAGTGAGTCAAGTCTGTTGATGTCTGGATATTTCATAAGGTGCCGGGGTAGATCTTGCTGATGCAGTGCTCAATTCGGGCGACCTCGGTAAACTTCGTGGCGGCCTGCAGCTCAGAGATAATGATGTGATTCTGCTGCTGCTGACACCTGTTTCCGCTGCGTGATTCAAGGCTAAGATGGCATGCCACAAGATCCGCTGATTTTCCACCAGTGTCTGGCAACCCATGTAATATTGCAACAGCCGGACCAAGACGTCCGCTTTAGTCGAGCTCATGCAGCCGCCGCTGCTTGGATAACAGTTCCCAAAAGGATGCACCAACTCCTGCAGCTGTCAGTTGTTGGATATTGCCAATCTTCGACAGGCCAGCGCAGTCTGTCCCATTCGCGTCATGCTGCACGTAAAAAGCCTCAACGCTGGTTTACCGCACCTAAACGTTCACAACTCAAGGGACCCCCAAACGCATAGGTGGCCAGGCTTTACAGATGCTTGGTTGGGGTCATGCAGCACCATCGGGCACATCTTACGTATGATTCTGATTCAGTGCTTTCTCAGTGGGTTTAACAGATTTTGTGGACAGCAGGTCACCGAGAGTCAGTCGACTGACACCTAACATCTTGAGAGGCATGCAGTCAAAAGAGTTTTCTGAGGAGGAAGATTGGCAGGCCAGCACAACAACTACACAACAACAGCAGCATGCGCGGGCAATTCTGCAAGGTCATGGTACGGATGCCTACCCGTTTGCTTGGTGCAAAGTATGGGCCCTGAAGGTATGCAATGGATATGTTCACGGCCGCATGTCAAAGGCAGGCAACACAGGCAGGGATGCCAGCATCAAAGGCCCGAGGTGAGGTTTTTTGATGCCGGCTAGGGGGCCAGCATCACGAGCATCATCGGGACTACGTTTCTCACAACCGAGACCTCCAGTGCCCGAACCCAAAAGCGTCCGCTTCAGGAGCCAGACACAATGGGAGCGCGTCAGCGCACTGCAACCCGACCTGCCTGTGCACGTACGTACCAAGCGTACGCACGTACCTTTGTGCGATTTCCGCGAAAGGGGTAGGGGCAGGGAGGGGGTCGGGAGCCGGGAAGGCGATTTGAAATCGAAACTCAGCAGATGGAGAAGAGTCGGGTTGGGCGGGCGCAGCCCCCCGCTATGTTGCAACCAAAATGGTTCGTACATCCATCCCTTACTGCAAAACATGGTGATGACACGATGCTCGTTGTCACGGCAAGCGTGGATGGGGTTGGGGGGGGGCGCAGCCCCTCCCCCCATGTGCAAACAACATGATTTGTATAACAATCCTTCATTGCAAACGTGGTGATGACATGATGCTTCTTCGTTGGAACGGGGAGAGGATCGGCAAGCAGGGACCCAAGATGAGGGACCCAAGACGAGGGACCCGTATGATACCCCAGCCGAACATTAGTTCCGACCTTGAGATTTTGAGTGCAACTGCACAGCAGCATAGCCAAAAACATACTTGCCCTGATTCTGCCACCAGGCATACATAATCAATGGGGTGCCATCGATTCCTCTTTTGGCATTTGCTCGCCTTGGGCCGCACGGCACTTTCAAATCTTGTAGCTCCCTTGATACCAGCACGTGTCCGCCTGTTTCCTGTAAACTTGGAGCCAAAACGTCTTTCACAGTAGACTGAGGATAAAAAGTTTCAGGAATGCTTAGATTCGGCTTAGATCACAACACCGTCGCACAGGGCTAAACATGTAACGTCGGCGTGGCCTTGCTAGGGCCCATGTACAGTCCTCGGCGCAGACTGGCAGCAGTCGGGCTTGTTCTGATTGCCCTACTCCATCAATGGTGGCAGAGAGACGAGCTGGCAAGTATTGACGAGGATCAATGCAGTCTTTGTCCACCTTCCCAAAGACGTTCTCCAAGATGCCCGTCCCAAAGAAGTTTTACCAAGCTGTGCTTGTTGGCGAGGCGAAGGCTGGATGACAACATCAACTTGCCGCAGCCACGTCCCATACATGACCCTTCAGAAGCCGGCGACTGGGAGGAAGGAGGGAGCGCTTTCACGAACGCAGAAGATGACAAACTGCCACGTTGGTTTCTGGAACTCAACGTTGCTGGCTTTGAGCCGGATCTGAATTTCTACAACAACTTTATCCAGGAAGCTTCTAAGAAGGGCGACCTAAAAGCAGCCGAGCGCTGGCTTAAAAACGCAGAAAAGGCAAAAGTGGAACCTGGCAAGGACACCTTGACATTCCTGTTTGAAGCGGCTTCCAAGTTTGGAGATCTAGAAGCTGCCGCCCAATATGCAGTCCAAGCCACAGAAATGGGCGCAGTGCTTGATGAATCACTCCTTGCAGATCTTCTGCGAGTAGCAGCCGCTGAGGAAAACTTGGAAATAGCAGAGGTTCTCTTCTCCCTTTGCCGGAACATTCCTGATGCGTTGACATATGAAGCATTGCTCTTAGCTGCGGCCAACAGGGGGAACCTTGAGTCAGGCGAGCAGTGGCTGAAGCGAACAGAAGTCGTCCCCAGCATGGATGCAGTGAGGCGTCTCATGAATGCTGCTGCATCTGTGGGAAATTTATCGATGACCGAACGCTTTTTTGAGAGCGGAACTAAGGCAGGTTTGGTCCCAGACTTGGCTTCCTTCAACATCTTGATCAAAGCAGCATCAAGTGCTGGCGTGCCAGAGGCGGCTGAGTACTGGTTCGAGCAAGCAGCAGCACGGGGCTTGAAGCCTAGCCTTGTGACCTACACTACGCTGATCAAGTCCGCGGCTCGTGCGGGGGACCTCGCCAGTGCAGAGGAGTGGCTACAGCTTGCTGCGCAGCAAGCTAAGAGGGAGCCGCGCTTACAGCTCGACATCCAAATTTTTACGGCCGTCATTGACGCAGCAGCTAGGATGGCGAACCTGTCCGCGGCCGAATCCTGGTTTCGCCGTGCTACCTCTCAGGGCCTGCAGCCGACGTTGGTCTTCAGCCTCAGTCAGGGACGTTCTGAGTTGTTCTGCAGATCCAGCAGCTTAAGTTGCTGTCAGATAGGTGAGTATGGGGTGTTAGCTCTCTTGATCCGTATTCTGATTGCTTCGCAAGATTCTCCGCGCCATTTGTGTGCGAAGATGTTCCACGGCCACAAGGTGTCGCAGCGCGGTAGGATAGGGATACAGTGCCCAGAACTGGTAGTGATTGTTGCTTCAAGTCAAGTGCTACTGCTTTTGCCACATGAACAGACTTGCTGCTTGCCAAGGTGACATTCAACACCGTAATCAGCGCGGCTGTGAGATCTGGAGACTTCGATTCTGCAGAGAAGTGGTTCAAAAGGTGCGAAAGTTCCGGCATCAACCCAAACAGAAAGACATTCAGCATATTGATGAATGCGGCTGCGCGGCAGAAGGACCTGAATGCCACCGAACATTGGTTTCAAATCGCGCTGGCCAAAGGCATTCGGCCTGACAGCGTGATGTTCAAGACCTTGCTGAGCACAGTTGTGCAAAACGGAGATGTGCCAGCAGCCTCCCGATGGTTTGACACAGCAAAGCAGCATCTCATTCGTTTAGACAATGCCTCTGTTGCCTCGCTGGCGCAGACAGCGGCACGTCAGGGGAATTATGCTTTTGCAATCTCCCTCATGGAGGATGGCTACAGTCACATGAACTTGAATTTCAGCATCGTCACCTACATCACTCTTGCGCAGATAACTGCGAAGCAAGGGCTCATGGCGACTGAATCCTGGATACGCATGGCATCACAGCATGGGCTTGGTGGCAGCATTTCTTTGTACAACGCTATGATTACAGCCTGTGCAAAGAGTGGTAACTCAACTGGAGCAGAAGACTGGTTTCAGGAGATCCAACGGGCGGGTCTGCGAACAAACCTGCAGACCTTTAATGCCATCATCAATGCGGTTGGATCACGCGGCCTGCGTCCAGCGGAGCGTTGGTTTGCCAAGGCCATCGAAGCTGGGCATCGTCCTGACATAGTGACGTTTACAAACATGGTGAGCATTGCCTCGCAAATGGATGACTTGCAGTCAGCTGAGGGCTGGTTTCGAGCAGGCCTTGCTGCAGGTATAAAACCAGATGTGGTGATGTACACCTGCTTGATTCATGCAGCTGCGAAAGGAGGCAATGCTGACCTAGCCGAACAATGGTTCCAGGAGGCTTTGTCAAGCGGCTTATCGCCAGACGTCGTCTCATATACAACGCTGGTTGAAGCACACGCCAGAGCAGGAGACATGGCGCGAGCTGAAGCTTATTTTCTAGAGCTGGAGTCCATGCAAGGCATACCCACCCTTCAAACCTACAGTGCGCTTATCAATGGTCATGCTCGTTTGGGAGATGTTGACTCGGCCGCCAGGTGGTTCGGGGAGATGCGACGTCGGGGTGTTGCAGCCACCGTTGTTCAATATAACCAGCTCCTGCGAGCCTGCGCTGAAGCATCACCAAGGGGTCCTACGGAGAAAGCCTTTGCGGAACAGCTGTTTGAACAGATGATTGATCAGGGCATCTCTCCAACCGACGGTACTCTTGAGGCACTGCGATGGGTGCTAGGAGGACCGCGCTTCAACGAGATCCTGCTCCAGAAGCCAGCGAAACAAAAAGGGGGATTTTGCTTTATTGTTTTTGGGGGGCAGATGCGCGTGAGGCTACTGCGGAGCTTTGGGAAGATTTCAACATTGCACTTCCGATCACATGTCAGCTTGTGCCATACATGCGCCAGAAAGCTCTCAGGACCGGACAGTATTTGCAAGGGTAGTGTTTTTAGTACGTTCCGGTGTGTTTGGAACTGTCACAGCCCGCACTTGTCCACACGTTCAAGTCAAGATTAAGCACTCGAAGAGTATTTTGCAGCTCATGTCTGACCCCCATATCTGTCCACAGTCCATCTGCGAGTGAACTGTTGCCGTGGGTTTAGCACAATCCAGAGCCCAAAGCAAATCTGTACGAAGACCTGCATATGTTGCCTGTTTGGAACAGGTACGTGCCAGGTCCACAGGAAAGTCAGCGTTTTCAGATTCGCTCTTGCGTGCGTTGGCTGCGTGTTTGGTGCCATCGCTTGTCTGGCTGCATTATAGTCGAGACCCATATAGCGCCCACTTCCTATCAGACAATTTCATTGCAGGAAGATTTTGGCATCCGCGCGTGGCTATCTACATTGTTGACTCGACCATACTTTGATGACGTGTTTGCGGGAATGTGAAG